AGAGATGTCACTGTGCCAGAGAAATGAGGCTGGGGTGTACAGGGGACATCTGGTCACAGCAATATCAGGGGGCAGGAATTCAAAGGTCATGGTGGGGGTGGGTTCTCCTAGGGGCGAGTGGATCTGAAGGGTACACGACCTAAGTATGCCAAGGGTATGAAGCCAAGGGGAATATTAATACCAGGCTTTGGGGATTTTCATTTGGTTGAACCATCTCTCATATCATCTATAAAATTCCTTTCCCTTTGTTTCCCCCACTTCCTGATCATTCATTTGGTGGGAAAACTTGGTCATTTGTCCAGCAGATTTTCCCACCTTCTTTTAGAAAATAGTGGGAAACCCTAACAAGTAGATCACTACTTACATCCCTGCCCTGCATCTCCTGTCAAGTGGTCACTTGTATAGAGACTCAAGTTCAATTTTTGACAGAAGTATTTCCTAGATGCTGCTGCATACTTCTTGCATCATGACAGGACACGATGTCAGGTTGCATTTTTTGAGATACAAATCTGTAGGTTGGGGTCTTGTCAGCCTGACCCATCCATTATAAAGCTCACCATTAGCCTCTCACCTAAGAGTTTTAGCAGCCACTGACCATCACTGCCTGGACTTGATTGACAGTTCACTGAGGATGGCAAAATAGTGCCCATGTATTTTTCTTTTTTCTTTTTTTTTTTTAGGGAGGAACATTTATTAGTGATAATTTGTCTGTAAAAAAGAATGTTCCCAGGTCAATCATCAGTCACTCTATGGTGCAATATGCATAGGAAAAGAGAATAAAAGCTTGACTCTTTCCCTTTGCTTGCCAGTATTCAGAATGTACAAGTTCCCTAGCATCTTCCAAAGGTACCTAGTTGTTCTGAAGTATCCTTATAATCCTGTAGATTTTAAAATATTTACTGAGTTTTGGTTAAACAACCAGTTTCAATTTGGCTCCTGTCTCTTTGACACAATCCATGAATATCTTCCTTGCTTTCTTCTTTTTTTAAAGGTTTAAAAGGTAACTTGTTCTTTTAATGATTTTGCTAGAAAATGGGAAAGTTCTCAAGTGAAAACTTGGTGGCTCAGATGGTAAAGAATCCACCTGCAATACAGGAGGACCTGGGTCCAATCCCTGGGTCAGGAAGGTCCCCTGGAGTAGGGAATGGCAACCCACTCCAGTATTCTAGCCTGGAGAATTCCACGGACAGAGGAGTCTGATGGGTGACAGCCCATGGGGTCGCAAAGAGTTTTGCTAATATGAAAGATGTTACAAGTTCATCTTACACATTCCTTGCTCAAGTCTTAGATCTGGCCCTTTCTCCAAGGAGTAAAGGTTCCCTCTGATAGGTTATGGTGTCTAGAAACAAGACCGTGTGATTTTAATATGGTCTTACAGTATGATTTCAGATTTGGATGAAGTAGTCACATCTCATTATTCTTTTCCAAAAATTTCTTAGCTCTTCTCCCAAATGTAATTTTCCAGTTGGGGGTGGGGGGGGTGAACATTAACATTCTGATGAAGATTGCATAAAATTAGAGAAAAATTTGGAGAGGGTTGAGATCTTTAGCATATTATGTTTTTTGCATCAGGAAACATGCTGTGACTTTCCAGTTCTTTAGTGTTCTTTTATGCCCTTCGGTAAAGTTTCATCATTTACCTGATAAAATCTGACACAGGTCATTTACTGTATAAATCTGCCCTCTGGTCAAGCTTATTTTTCTAAGAAGTTTTTTAGAGATGTTTTTAATGTTAAAACATTTTTAAAGTCTTTATTGAATTTGCTACAATATTGCTTCTGCTTTATGTTTTGGTTTTTTGGCTGAGAAGCATATGAAATCATAGATCCCCAACCAGGGATTGAACTCATACCCTCTGTATTGGAAGGTGAAGTCTTAACCACTGGGCAACCAGGGAAATCCTCCAAGAGTTTTATAGAGCATTTTTCCTATGGCAAAAAGGATCTTTTTACCCATTATATTTTCTTATTGCCGGGAAGTTATGAGTTCTTGCTTTTTAATCTTACATATGGCCACATTCTTAACCCTACTTATTATTTTTAAGGTTTTCATTTAATTCACTTAGATTTTAATCTAGATGGACAAAAGTATAATTTACAAATAAGGATAAGTCTGTTTCTCCCCATTGAAATGTAACATTTATTTATTCTTTTTTCTCTTGCTGCACTGCCTGAAATCTTTACAGCAGTGATTCGCAAACAGGGTAATTTTGCAACCCCCTTGCCCTCAGGGGACATTTGGCAAAGTCTAAAGACATTTTTGGTTGATCTGACTGGAAGGGAAGGGTACCACTGTTCATCTGATAGAGGCCAGGGCTGCTGTTAAACATACTACAGTGCACAGAACAACACCCCCCACAACAAAGAATTGTCAAGGACAAAAATGTCAATAGTCCCAACACTGAGAAACCCTACTCTAAAGCAATGTGGACTAACAGTAGCAGGAAGAGGTTTCCTTGCCTAGTTCCTAACTTAATGGACACACAGATAGGATTTTATCATTACAATGTGTTCACTGTTGATTTCTGGTAACACTTTTCGATCATGTTAAGGAAAACTCCTCTGTTCCTAGTGTACTAAGTTTCCTCTCAGAATAGGATGTTGAATTTAATCAAATGCCTTTCCCACATCTGTCTAAAATGAACAGTACTGTTTTTTCTACCTTTTTTTTGGCACGCCACATGGCAGGTGGGATCTTAACTCCCCAATGACCAGTGATCAGGGATCGAACTCTGTGCCCCCTGCAGTGGAAGCATGGAGTCAACTGCTGGACTGCCAAAGAAGTCCTTCCCTCCCTTAACTTTTTAAATACAATGACTCATACTTAGAGGTTTCATAATATGGAAACACCTTTAATTCCCTGAAATAAACCCAACTTTGTGACAATGTTACTCCCTTAATATACCACTGTGTTTGTTTTGCAACTATGTTATTAGAAACTTTTACATCTCTGTTCAGAAGCAAAATTAACCTATACTTTCCTCTTTTTTGGCTGAACCATGGGGTTGCAGGATCTTAGTTCCCTGACCAGGGACTGAATCCAGGCCACAGCAATGAAAGCCCGGAATCCTAACCACTAGGTCACCAGGGATCTCCCTACCTTCTTACATTATCCTTGTCACCATTTTTCAAATGCCCTTATAAAATGAAATGCGAAACATTTTATCTTTCCCTACACTCAGAAAAAGCATAAGAATTACCTATTCCATGAAGATTTGATAAAATTAGCCATAAAACCATCTAGTGCCTTCTGGGGGAGGGACTATTGACAATCTTTTCTAGTTCTTTCATGGTGACCAATCTTCCATCTATTCTCCAACCAAAGGAAGTGACAGACGTCGTGGCCAGTTCAGGGGGAGGATCTGAAGAGGCAGGGTCAATGGGGACGTCACAGGGTGACTGGTGGGGGGGCATGGGGAGCTCCAGGGTTTGGAGGGCTCTCACAGGTCGTGATGTCTGGGGGAGCATAGCTGTCACTCAGGTAGGCATTGCTGGGCTTGGCCACCTTTAGGTAGACCACATCGTACGTGTTCTTCAGGGCTGCCACGGCATCCTCATGCATGACGTCCTCCAGCCCCACGCTGTTGACCTGGGGCCAAGGGAAGCAGAGCTCAGACGGAACCAGAAGCAATCTCAAGACAGACGTGCCGAGGACGAGCCCATCAGGAAGCCTGGGTAGGCACCAGGCCAGCAGGCAGGACCCAGGTGTGGGCTAGAAGAGTGACGGGGGTCCCCACTCACCGCTAGGATCTTGTCTCCGATCTGTAATCTCCCGTCCTTGTGGGCGGCACCCCCTTCGATAATCTTGGTCACATAGATGCTGTTATCTCCGGGGATATGTTGGTTCCCGACACCTCCGGCGATGCTGAAGCCAAGACCTGGGCAGAGGGGAGGGCAGAGGTGGGTCCCTAGGTCCCCTGGGGCAGAGGACAGCGGGAGGAGGGTGGCAATCTAACTGGGTCGCTACCTTTAGGCCCCTTGATGAGCTTGATCTCCATAAGCTTCTCAGCCGGGGGCTTCCGGCGCATGACGTAGAGGCGGACAATAGAGCCTGCCTCTTTGAGGGCCTCCACCGCCGCTGAGTGGGTCACCTCCCGCACGTCCACTTCATTGACAAACAAGATGCTATCGTTGACCCTGAGGGCAGCAAGGTGGGCCTGAGCCAGGAGCTTCCTGCCGCCCTGGTCCTCCCTTTCAAGGGAGCCAGCATCCTAACCCGTCTCCTCTCCCCACCTGAGACGGCCGTCCTGGGCTGCAGCCCCACCAGGAATGATCTTGGTGATGAAGATGGAAGGGTCATCACCGATGTGGGGGTTATCAGTGCCACCTGCGATGCTGAAGCCCAGACCTGAGTTACCCTGGGCAGAAGGAGGGGAAAAGGGTCAGCTCCCCTCTCTGCCTACTCTAGATGGGGCAAGAGGGGAGGGGAGAGGGTTGGGGAACTGTGACCGGAGCAGGAAGGGGCAGGGTTAAGAGGCTGGCCACTGAGAAAACACAGGCACAGAGAGAAGCACAGACAGGGGGCAAGGCGGGAGGACCTGGGCTGCGTGAGCCTGCTCACCCTTTCCAATGTGATCTCCTCGTATTCCATTTCCCCCTCTGTCCCGTTCACCTGCAACTCCAGCACGGGCCAGAAACACAAGAGACGTGAGACAGACTTCCAGCCTGAGCACCTGACCCTACCCTGCTGCTGGGACCTGACCTTCCCTCCTCCCTTCTGTAAAAGCCCCAAAATCTAAACAACTCACATATCCTGGGGCTTCTAGGGTATCTGTGTTGACAATCACAGGGGGAGAATTGGCCTGCGAGGGAAAAAAGGAGATGAAAAGCTGCCTGAGCCTTGGCTCAAGAGGGAGCCTGTAACCAAGAGATCCCCCCACCATGGCTACCCTCTCAGCCTCTTAACCTGGCCGGCTCTGTTCCCTTCGACTCCCTGAAGGACCTAGCCTTGATCCACGTTACAAACACACAGGTACACGTGCTGGCCCCAACTCTGCCCAGCCCAGGCCCCCTGCATGTGGAGGTGTCTGAGAAGCAGGAAGAGAGAGACAGCCAGATTGGGGAGCAGCAGATGGTATAGAGCCGGGAGAGGGGGGGGACGGCTGGTGGGGGGGAGCTTCTCACCGGATGTAACACCACAGAATGCTACATGCCTTATGTACTACACACACATACCACAGGGCTCCTGTCCACTAGGTCCTACCCCATTCCTGTCCCTATCTACCCACCTACACCCAGATCTTTTCATAACCCTCCCTCAGACTTGCCCCTCATTTTCACACACATGTGCCCTAAACCCTGGGCCCCCGGAATCCGGGGTTCCCCAAGATGCAGGCCCCACCCTTCTTCTCGCCCACCCACCATTCAATCTACTCCTTCCTCTAGGGATCCTGTTGCCAAGCAACGGTATCTAAGCCCAGCCAAGGCCTGGGGAGACCCACCTCCTGGAGGCCCTGTCGCCAGGACAACGGGAGGGGGAGATGGGGCGTGGCCTAAGAGCGACCAGATTCCCAAAGGCAGAATCTGGTCCGCTAGCCCCGCCTCTCCTGCTCTGGGCCCCGCCCCCCAGGTAGCTCGGCAGAAAGAAGTCCAGGCTGAAGAGGTTTGAGGGCTCAGCGCCTCCTGAATAACCTTCCTTCCTCCCTCCCCTACGCCCCTCACCCTACGCAGTGGAAAGAACGTCAGGAAAGGGGAGTGGTGAAAGACATCCGGGTCCTAGCCTCTCATTACTCTTACCCCCACCCCTGCCCTATTTCATCCGGGAAAGGGTTAAAGTGGGGTGTGCCCAGGCCCCTGACGTCAGTCGCCTCGACACAGCAGGGTCTCTAGATTCTAGGGCAGGGCCGCTTTAGGCCGGTCCTAGGGGCTTCCCCAGTTGCCAGGGCAACCGAAGCCACGTTTCCATAGCAATGGGGAAGGCAGCCAAAAGCCTCCTTCCGGGGTCCCCAACCTGTCTCCTCCTTAAACAAATATTTATTTGGAGCCTACCAAGCGCGAGGCACTCATCAAGGATTCCCCAGACTCCTGGCTCTCTCCTTCCCAAGGGGTCTTTCCTCTCTCCTACTGCAATATGTCAGTACTACATATTTTCAAGCTCCGTGATAGATTTCATACCCATAAATCTATTAAATCCATCCTCTGACCCTTCAAATCTCAGCAAATGCTACTGTCCAGCCAATAGCCACTGACTGCCTACATCCCATCTGCATGTCCATCCTCTGTCCCACAGCCTGTTTTCAATTGCCATCCCCAACCTTACCCTAGAACTTCCTGCCCCAGGCTCCATCTTTTATCCCCACTACCTTCATCTCATCTCATCTGTGTAGCTGTAGATAAAACACCCCTCTCTCCACCCCATCCGATATCTTCCAACCCCAGCCTCCATTCTCCATCCACTTCCCCGCCCTGTGCCCCTGTCCAGGCCCATCCAGCATCAGTCTCCTGCTCTTATCCTCCATCCTAACGTATGATTCCTCAGAGAGATCACCAAACACTCTCCCTTACTTCATTCTCTGACCCTCAAGATTCTATACCCAAATCACAATCCTTCATTCTCAACTCTCTGAAAACTGAGGCTTCTCCTGTCCCCCAGCTCAGGCCTTGTCATGGGTCCTCCCTCCCACACCCAGGGCCTCCAGCACCCACTTCCCTCTGCTTCCTGGGCACAGACTCCAAGTCTCCCTACCTCTGTACAACCACCTTCGCTCCTCTTCCCCTTCCCCTTCCCCAGGGACTGAATGGCCCCATCTTGAGGGGAAAAAAAGCATCTTCTTTCCTTAGTCCTTGCAGCCCCCAACATTCCACAGGAATCCTCTGCACCCATCTCCTCCTCTCCTTGCCCTCGATCAGCTCAACCTCCTCCCTGGTTCCACGTCTCATCCTTGCCTGTCTCCTGGCCTAGGACCTCTCACCTTCCTCTTGTCTTTCCACTTTTCTACCTGCATGAGAATGGTATTTCCCTCTCCAACTCCTCTCCAACCACCTCCTTCTCACCCCAGAACCTACTGCTGCCCAGCCTCTGCCTCCTCATTCCCAGGCTCAGGAACTCCATCTGAACCTCCTCTCCATCTTCTTGGTGAAACGTCAACAACCTCCCCCTTCCCAGGACATCCCACAAGATCCTAGAATCTGACCCCTGACCCCAGTGTTCCCCTGAATCCCACAGCCAGCCTGGTACACCCCATTCCTCCCAGCATACACCCCCAGAAGAGGAGACTGAGGGGGAAGAAGATGGGAAGTGGCCTGGAGAATGGAAGATCTCAAAAACAGGGCCTCCCCAGTACTGGAGAAGGGAAAACATACTGTGAGCACAGAAAAGAAGGGGAAACAGGTGGTGGTGAATAACAATGGGGGGGGGGGAGTACAGAAAGAAATCTGCATGGAGGTAAGTGTCCAAGAGGAGGAGAGAGAGGAGGCATAGGAGGAAAGGACAGAAGTGATGAGTAGGGAAGGGGGTTAACATGGAGAAAGGGAGCCGGCTGACCCAGGCAGAGGACTCATCCTGGCCAGAGAGCCTGAGCTGGGGATCGGGGAGAGGAAGAAGGAGAGTGCGTGGGAGGAAGAGAGAGACAGCATCCAGCATCAGCCAGCAGAGAGGGAAAGGCAGCGAGGAGGGGAGGCACAGGAGGGGTGCAAAGGCCGAGGCAGGGGACAGAGGCAGAAAGGCCGGGCAACCAGAAATCTCAGGCCAGACAGATGGAAAGGGCTGGAGAGCCAGGCCCAGAGGCCGGAAGTGGGGGGAGGAGGCCGCGAAGGGCCAAGAGCAAATGAGGGCAGCAGGAGTTCTGAACAGAGCTCTGGACACAGAAAATGGAAACGGAGGTGGGGGTGTGTGAAGGAATGAAGAGGGCCCAGGCACGGGGAGCATCCTGGGGAACGCTCGCATCTCAACGCACGTGTACGCACACACGCAGACACACACGCACGCACACAAGGGCTGTAAACTACACCCGCTCCCACTTGCTTGGTCTGTTTCTCCTCTTTAGGAACCAGGTGTTTCCAACGCCCCCAATGCCCCCTCCCCTGGCCCCAGGAGCCCAAGCCCAGCCCCCCAGCCCCAGCCGCCCCCCACCTCCGGCTCTCGCCCTACCGGGCCTTGGGGGTAGTTGTAGCTCCGAGGCTCCGAGGGCTGCACTGGGGAGGGGGCCGCCTGAGTCTCCTACCTTGAGGGGGGAGAAGTGGGCGTGGCCCACGACCCCTTGGACGGCCTCGAGGTGGGACAAGTTCCTCTCCGCCACGTGCACCAGCTCGGGGGCGTTTACCTGGTTGGGGAGGTGGGCCGGGCTGTGCTCCAGAGGGGGCGTGTCTTCATCTTGGTAGCGGTATTTCTGGGGACGGGATGGAGGCGTCACGGGGCCGGCCCAGCGCCGCCCCGGCGCGCCTCTGCTCCCCCGCCAGTGCAGTGCGGAAGGCCCTGGGGCCTGACCAGCTCCTCCCCCTCCCTGTCCACCAGCCCATTGGCTCCCCTCTCTCCACCCTCTCCACAGCCCCCTCTCCCGCCAGGCCCTTGGCACCTCTCCTCTCTTCCCAAATCTGCACCCCCCGACCCCCGCAACTCTTCCTACTCCCAGCCTAGGACCCCCGCCTTCTCCCCAGCACACCCCCTCCTCTGAAGTCCGTTTCTTCAGCCCTTTCCCAGAGCTCCAGCCCCTCGGCCACGTGCACCGCTCCCCTTCTCTACCTCCATCCCCAGCATCCTTGCTTGCCTCATCAGCTTCCCCCCACTTCCTCTTTACCCTAAGCCCATTCCCCGTGTCGTAACCTCCCTCCTTCGAGTTGCTTCTCCCATTCTGTACTCCATCCCACCCCACTCCACCCTCCTTGCCTCAGTCTCCCTACTACAGCCTCTGCCCCAGGAGGGAATCACTCCCCATCACCTTGCGCGCCCCGGGCAAGGACCGCTGTCGAGTCCTTCAACTAGCAGGTACTTGGCATCACCCCCCCTCGCAGCACTAAGCTAAACCGGTCCAGCTGGCCTTGCTGGTTCCCAAGTCTTTGGCAAGGGGGCCCCAGGACTCCCCCACCTCTACAAATGCCCAGAGGCCAGCCAGCTAATCGGATATACTAGAAGAAGGGGGAGGGTGTGGGAGGAACAGAGATGGTAGGGCTCAGAAGGGGGGTAGGAATGCATGCCAGCTTCCAGGTTCCATGACTGAGGAAGTAGGTAGAACCTCAGAGTAAATTCCTGGTCTCCCTTTGGCCTTTAGGAATGAAAGACCCAACCTGACCCCTGATTCCCCTTCCTAACTCACTGAGTACCATCTCAGGGGCCTCCCTTACTAGCTTAATACGGACACCAGTAAATGAGATTACCGGAGGGACCAGAGAGAGGAGGGCAGCTGGAGACACTAATGAAGGGTAGTGCCTCTGCCCCCCACAGAAGCAAACCCTCCCCAAGGCCAGGTTCTATGGAGAAAGGGGAGGTTACCATGTGTAGGGCTCTCTCAGAGACTGGAGAAGACAGAATACGCTCCCCAGTACACATGGGTAAAAAGAGAAGGCAAGATTTCCCTCTCAAAAAAAGTATCTGAGAAGCTGAGAGGACCCCAACATTCGGAGGACAACAGTTACAAGATCAAACTGGAGGAAGCTTATCAAGGTCAACGCCTGACAGAGTATGACTCTGAAAATTCTGAGGATGAGGAACCAAGGCTGAGGATGTAGTTCACTTTGGCCATGGTTAAGGATAAAGTAAGAGAAATAGGAAGAGGAAAATGGTCCATTAAGACTCTCCAATCCAGAACACAGAGACAGCTAAGATCAAGGAGCACCTTGATACATGTTTTTTTTTAAGGCTGCACCATTGGGCATGCAGGATCTTAGTTCCCTGACCAGGGATCAAATCCATGCCCCCTGCAGTGGAAGTGTGGAGTCATAAACACTGGACCCTGCCAGGGAAGTCCCACCTTGATATGTTTGAAGTCTTAAGGAAAGAAAATCGGTTCATCAGGGTACACTTTGTTTTCTGGCCTTGAAGACAGACTTGGAGAAAGAACTCCTAGCTCCCTCCAGGTTTCCATACCAAGAACACAAAAAGTGGACAAGGGAAGTTAGGGGAAGTAGAAACTAAATAATCCTCCTCCAAGCTGGGCCCTCTTGGGTAACAGAATTCGATGAACTGAAAGAGGTTGTTGTGCCACATTCTGAAAAGGTGGTCTTTGGCCTGGATAGTGCAAGAGCTGAGGGCCAGAGCCCCACAACTGGAGGGGCCAGGGAGGGAAGAAGGAGAGAAAGAGACTGCTCTCTTCTCTCTTCATAAAGCCCCCAAGTCCCTGTGTGACAACTGAGGCAGGGCCAAGGGTTGAAGCTTCGAGTTTGTGGAGTTTGGGACAGGGCAGGGAGGGTTTGAACCCAAAGCCCCTCCATCTTCGCCCCACCTCACAGAGAAAATTCCTGAATCCCAATGAAGAAATCTCAGGATGCACACAACGAAAATGGAAGCATGGAATGGGACATGTCATTGTTTATTCTAAAGGAGACGAAAGAAAATCTGTAGCACACTGAGACTGCAGGCGCCTTTCCCTTCCCTACCCCCGTGGGGGGCGGGGTGTCTGGGACTGAGAAAAAGGCTCCTCCTGATACAGTGACAAAGTCAGGGAGATGGGGAACAAGGAAAGGATCCCAGAGGTCCCAGAATGTGGCTGAAAGTGGTTAGGGCCTATGTTCAGTCCCTGGAAATTTTTAAAGTAAATGTAGTAAGGAAAAACCTCTGGAGAGGTGGGGGTGGGAGAGTCATTAGGAAACTGCAAACTGGGAGGTGGGGATTGAGGTCAGCACCTCTCATCCCAGACTAAAGGACTACTAACGCAAGGCAGGCTAGGAAGGGGGGTCCCCTCTTTTACGCTACTGGGGCTCAGGGCCGTGACCAGCGACAGCTCCAGTACAATTGGGACCAAGTCTGAACCCCCAATATAGTTAAGGCACAGGTAATATTATTAAGGCACAGGCATAGGATAAGTCAAAGGCCTGGGGGCTCGCTGTTGCTCTTTTCCCTTTGGCCCCCTCTTCACAGCCTCAGTTGCAAGAATGACCTGGAACGGAGGCTTGCACCCCCAGAATAGAGGGTTGTGAGTGAAAGTGAATGATCATAGGAGGGGCGACCCACTGCGCCTGTCCGCGAGACACTGCCACCCAGAGACCCCGCCAAGCAGAAGGAACAGCGACAGCACTTGAAGCTTGCACCCCGAGATTTGGGGGTCCGGAAAAAGGGGAGCGGGGCCGGAGCCCGTACCGCGGCACGTACCACGCAGAGACACATGGAGGCGAATCTGTTCCGAGCCGACATGGAGAAGGGGAGAGGGACTGAGGGGAGGGGATGGGTGGGAGAGCAAGGGTCCTCTGGTACCAGCTGTTTCTCTGTGAACTTCACCGTGCACAGTATACTCCTATTCATTCACAAATACGGACATTCCTAAAATTACCAATTTATCGCTCCGGTTCTCTGGGATCCCTTATGCTATCTAATCTCCCACCCCTAAAATCACCAAGCCCCTATTACAAAACCTCCCTGGACTCTCAGGGTGCAGGGAAGGAAGCAGCACTTCTCCCTCACTTCAGAAAGATCCCCAAGGGATCTAAACTGGCTCCCACAATCCCCTCCCCCCAACCACTCCAATGATTGTTAATGTAGACAACATCCCCACAGATGTCAAGACGTCTCCTATTCTAACCATCAGTAAAGCCCCACATGATAGCCAGACTCCTACACCTCAACATTCCTCCCCACCCCCACCCCCCCCGCCATGATTCTGAATTTCAACTCTGTTGGACGATTACTCCCAAATTTATCTATCTCCCCCACACCGACGTCTCGAAAATTATTTACCAAAATAAGATCTGGCCTGCAATTTCCAGTGACCCACAAATCTCCCGGAACACCCCAAAATGACTGCCTCAGATCTCTTCCATTTTGTCCCAACTGAACCTGAAAGCACCTCTTCTAAATATTCTCCCATTGAACTCCCACTTTTCCAACTCTTAAAGCCCAGCGAGCAATCTCCTAAAATCTGCTTCTCTGGCTTTTCTAAAATGCCTACAAATGGTAGAGAGGACGGATTTCCCTAGAACCTGATCCATAACCCCCTCTCTCCCCGTTGACTGGAATCTGTTAGATACGCCCCCACGATGACCCCCAAGGCCCTAGTTTCATATCTGGATAGAATGCTTGTAATCCTCAGAGGGAGCCAGTGCGGAAGGGGCTGAACTGGAAATTCCTTACAGAAAAGAAAATGCACAGGCCCTAGTTCTCCACCAGTGGGCGCTATGGCTATTAAGACCCTCCCCCATCCCCCATTTCCTTTTTCCCTCCATTTTCCGTTTCCCCGTTGCCTGGCAACACAGCGATCAAGGACTTTGCCGTCGCCTAGCAACCGTCTCCCTGGAACATAGCGTTGAGGTAGGAGGTTGTGCTCTGATGAAATCTTAACAGTCCTCCATCTTAGGAAAACTGAGACGTCAGATCGCCCAACCCCCGGATTCTCCTTTCCAAAGACCCCTGCTGCCCGCAGTTTCTTAGACCAGCCCCTCAAACCCTGTCTCCTCTTTGCACATGGGACCACGCCACGCCCCTGCCGGGTCAGCCCCTCCCTCATTTACCCAGTCCTAAGGCCCCACCCCTTTCTGAGGTTGTTTGCCCGCCTCCCTTGGTAGAGTAAGCCAGGCCCCGCCCACCTGCCTCCAGGAGACCACGCCTGCGTCCACTTCCCGCCCATTCGCTCCCCCGGCCTCGCCCACACTGCCCCTCCGCCACGCCCCAGTCGACCAATGAATGAGGCCGTAGGCCACACTGCCCCGCCCCCGACACCTTAGCTTTGCCCAATAAGGACCACCCGGAGGGTTTAACCGCTTCGCCTCCGGGACTCTAGCCAAATACCCCCGGTCTTTCCCCACTTTCCTCCCTCCCCCACTTGTTCTGCTCCGCCCTCCGCCACCCTCGCCCGGCCCTCAAGTCCGCCACGCAACTTCAGTCGTCGCCTGTTACCATGGCAACGGCGGCAGCAGCGCGGGGAGTAGGGGGAGG